ATTTCCAATGCTATTCACCACATGTTTACAGAAGGTTTTCACAGCCCCGCATTGGGAACAGTTGGGGATGAGTCAATGGAGAATATATTGGTAAACTGTGGTTTGCATATAATCCCTTGTTGAGTAGCTTGGTGTACTAATTTCAAAGCACTATTAGCGAGTTGGACCGGCAAACCAGAATGGTGGGTGGTCTAAAAATCAGTATGCAGAAAAATACACCTATGTTTGACAGTGCTGAAAGTGATTGGTAAGGTACACTAAACTGAATAAAAGACAGTGCAGTAAAAAGCTAACCAGGCAAGCATAGTATGCATGGTGAACTAAAAACATAAAACCAGCCACATGCTCAACTTTTTAGACAAAAAAATCAAAAACATGTACGATTCAAACAATTTGTAAATAGGAATGACATAAGCAGGAAACTTTCATAATATCGAAAGGCAACACATTTCTTTTATATTCATGGTGGTATGCAGTTATTTAGAAAATTTGTAGGGGAAGGTTTACAAGACAGAGTTGTGTGATACCTTGGGCATGTTAAAACTCGGAGAAATTTATTGTGAGGCCCCTTCAAAAGATACTTAACGATTCACCCTCATTGAAGTTGTTAATACTACACAGCCAAAGAAGAGCTTTGTTTTACGGGTGCTTCCTTGGTGTGCATGTAAGTCTCAGCAGTATCAAATTAGCCTTCTTTCTCAGTTTTAATGCATTCATTATCTTAGACCTGAAGTATTTCATTGTTTTGCCGCACAGCAGCAAACTTAAGAATGATTCATAGTGGGGGAATTTAGACAGTTCTTCAAGAGATCAAGGAGGAAATTTTATTTCATTATTTTATATCAAGTTAGTACAGCTCTAAAACACTGTAATGTTATGATTCTAAGAATGGACAGCTACAATTTGAGCCTTCCATATTACCATTTTTTGAGCAGCTTTCCAAAAATACTGGGAAACACTGTCTTTTTTTTTTCTCTCACCTATCAGTATTCTAATATTCTTTAAAAAAAATCAGTAAAAGGTGCTCTTTGCTCATTGTCTTCACAGTTGCTTTTTATATAGTGGCAGGCATATTAAGAGGGTTGAATATGTTATTTGGAAAAGTAATTAGGTAAGTTAAAATAATTGACTATTTAATTAGTGAAGTTAGGCAGTTAAGTCAAAGGGGAGAATTGAAGTCCTTCATGTGAAAAACCAATTGCCGTTTTGCGATTTCGGAAAAGCAGCCTCTAGTAATAACTGCGAATTAATCCTCAAACTTGGAGAGAATTCTCTCCAAGTTTGCGGTGAAACCGAAACCCGAATGAGCGCAACTGAAATGAGGAAGTGTTGTTATATCAATGATCAGCCAAATTCGTTGTGTGGGTGTGTGGGCTGCACTCGCAATTATTACACGCATGACACACATACCCTGTCAAACCGGGAAGAACTGCAGCCCTGTAACCTTTGTTTTGAACAGTGACATCATTGTAGTCGTCTGCTTGTTGCGCTCTTTGGGACATAAGTTTAGGTTTCGCCGCAGAATTCACGAGAATTTCATTAATTCGTAGTTATTACTAGAGGCCATTTTTCTGTAATCTCAAAGCGGCAATGGGTTTTTCGCATCAAGAACTTCAATTCTTCCATTTGACCTAACTGCCGAACTCAACTAATTAAAAAGTTAATTATATTAACTTTTCTAATTACCATTCCAATTCCACATTATGTCTTCAACTTTTTTTTAACATGTCTCCCGCTACAGAAAAGGCAACTGTTCAGACACCGAGGAAGTCTTTTGCTGATATTTAAACAATAGTGAACACATTGCTTGAAACAACCTGTGTGCACACCATGAGAAAGAAAGAAGAGTGAGACTGCAGTGTGTGTGCAAATGTGAGGAAACGTCCTTATCAATATGGGCACATGTTAAATTTTATTCAATAGTAAGCATGTTCAATGTAAACTCTTGTGAATGCACATTCAAAAGTCAGTTATCTCTACGAATTTCGCAAAGGGCAAGTTCTTCTGAAGTGAGTATATCGCACTTTGTAATGAGACAAAAAAAGCAAAGCTGGGTATTATGTGTAACTGTGTAAGTACAAAGAAAGTAGAACGTAGCAGTGAAAAAAGAGGGACTGAGGTTACATTGAATAACTTACGTGAAGCTCATCTTTGCTTCTCTTAGAAGTACTTTACTTGACAGATAAAACCTCTATTACTTACCGAAGATTTTACTTTAAAGGGACACTAAAGAGCGAAACAATTTTTCGCGTATCAGTAAAGTACAATTTCACAATCTCGAAAACACTCTTACCGCAACATAACTTGGTAAGTGAGAAAATGCACAAAAAAAAATGCAGATGGAAATGCCACTGTCAGATTCCCATACCAAACACTGTTGTGTAGTACATTTTTAAGGAATCTAGTGGGTCCTGCATAGCTTCTACTTGATAAAAATGAAGTATACATTGTCGTCTGTGGGTACCCTCAACATAGCATACAAAGCTTGAAAAAAATTACATTGAGCCATTGTCACAAAAATGTAAAAAATACATTTTGAAATTTCCTACATCACGCGCAGAAATTTTGACAAAAGTGAAATTGCAACCTTAATTTTTTTCTGTTAATAATGGGCTTATGACAGTGAAACGGCATTAGAGTTCTCAGAGTGCAGTTTATCAACCTAAACGAAGTCATTATTTCTCTTGAGAGTCCCTTTAAAGTAAACATATTTGACAGAAATCTGTCTGGCTGGGTAAAATTATAAGAATAAAAACAGACTCCAGCCGGATTACAGATGAAATTAGAGATTTTCCTGTGATTTCATTGTGGTGTAAAATTTCTAAACGATGCTGTATAACTGCCCAAGCTGCTGTAAGTTTAAAACTGCTTGAGCTTAGTTTTCATGAACTCTAGGTTCATAAAGATAATGAAAGTTTTTGCCAGTAAAATAAAAAAATAATAAGTTATTGACATTATATCATCATTTTTTAATCAAGCTAGCAAATGAAGTGTATCATTGTTCCACCCGATGGGTTTGATAAAACATCCTCCTCTTACTGTTTTTGAGGGACATGCTAGAGGGGTCCTGAACTACCCCTCTGGCTTAGTGAAAAGAACACATTCTATGAACAGCAACCACTGCTGTCAACATTTCAACCAAATTTTGCAATCATGCGCGTCACATAGGATTCATAAGCAGTATGGGCGTCTGCAGGGGGTGCAAGAGGGGCACTTGCCTCTGAAGTCTCACCTGCGTTTGCCCTTACCCAAGCTTTCCCACAGCTTTCCCCTGCCCGAGCCACAATGCAACACCGGATTTCAACTTCCAAAAGAAAATCCTGCCGACAACCATGACGAGCAGAGCGTAAAGTTGCCACTTTCTGAAGCGCACACTCTTCATACAGAAAGGTCCTATTCCTACTCACTTCAGTGGGTGGTGTGTCAGATTTATTTTGTCAAACAACAGATTGCTGCTTTTGTATGATAGTTTACTTAAATCAGGACCAGTGTTTTAATCATGTGTGCTTCTTGGCAAGGGGCGTCACCACATGCCAAAAAGCCAACACTGCGCGCACAGGGATCAATTGGAGAGAGCAAGCGGTGTTTCATGACATGCACTCAAAGTCTTGATGCACACTGACATATCTTCTTTGCCCACGTCATCCTTTCTTGTGTAGCTCCCAGCACGCTTGTTAATAGAAGAAGAGAGAGCAAATGCTTAAAACGTGCGAAAAATCCCTGCAACTCTGCTTGTCCTTGACAAATTTAAGAAATTTTTGCAAAAGCACTTTCATGAGATAAACTTTGATATTGGGTCGTTCAATGATTATTCAAAAAAGTGGTTCAGGTCCACATTAAAGAAATTATCAGAATGCACATCACACTTAATAACATTGGAGTGTAACATGTACTCACTTTTTAGTAAGTTTAATAGTATGGTGTAGTGCTTAACATGCATCTTGTAGCAATGATTTATCTGCTCTGCTGTTATTGATGTAAACAATCTTTGTATAGAGCAACACATTTTGAAAAGTGATGATCACTAGAGATTATTAGTCTACATTATAAAGTCAAACATTTTAGACACATGTGGACATCATAAAGCAAATAATATCTCGTTAATTTTTAATTATTGTTTATAATTAAAATTTTATTAAAGTGGACCTTTTACAAACACTCTTAACTCGATTTCTACTCATTAAAAAACGTAATTTTTTGTAGAAACATAAAAAAAGCTGTGGCCAGTGCAATGAATCAAAACTAATTGGAATCAGATTAACAGTATTCAGAATGTAGTGATTAAAAAAACGAAAATATACACTTACACTAGACGCACCTGCATTTAACAGGCTGCCATATTAAGCCTTGTGGCACAATTTTGCTTATTGGGGTTCATTGCACACCAACATATGTGCTAAAGAAGCGTACCAAGCCTCAATGAAAAAAGTTATTAGGAGAAAAAGTTATGATTGTTCACATACAGAAAATTGCCAAAAATATAAGTTCTAAGGAAATTACATAAAGTACTTGAAACAGGTGCAGCACTAAGACAACGCAATCAGGAGTGCTAAAATCATTGATATTTAGTGCCAGTTCCACCGTGGACCTTACTATTGTTTGCCATTGCTAGAGTATCAACTCGATTGATTTGCAGGGTTTAACGTCCCAAAACCACCATTTGATTATGAGAGACGCCGTAGTGGAGGGCTCCGGAAATTTTGACCACCTGGGGTTCTTTAACGTGCACCCAAATCTGAGTACACGGGCCTACAGCATTTCCGCCTCCATCGAAAATGCAGCCGCCACAGCCGGGATTTGATCCCGCGACCTGCGGGTCAGCAGCCGAGTACCTTAGCCACTAGACCACCGTGGCGGGGCTAGAGTATCAACTGGAAATTTTTTTTTTTCAGCTTTGTGGCATTGGGGCCGTGACAAGATGCTTTCGCAATGCAGTGCTTATCATTTCTTAGCCAAGATTCTCCAGTGTAGAGGCCACTAAAATTCACATGTGGAGCAGGTTATGGGGAAAAACGTTAATTTTTATTACAAAAGACTGAATTTCGAGCAGTATGGAAAAGAAGGCTTGCATTTAGAAAAAAAATTGTACAAACAATTCAACATTCTCTAAATCATGTAGAGTGAATATGAGCACTGCTATTTTAATAAAAGTAATATTTTGAACCACCCCCCCAGAAAACAATGATAAAGTCCACATTAGCATTTGCGACACCTGTCAAATCTTTTGACAGCCTCTGAGGACTCAAATGTGGATATGCCAAGCTGGCGATCTTGACATTCGGGAGATTCGTAAAAACTGAAAAATAGGAGCAGCAAAAAAAAAAAAAAAAAAAAAAAAAAAAACTGGTGCTCAGTTTCGATTGATTTTTCGAGGGGGTTACAGATGTGTCATACAGTGCCAGTAAGATTCCCAGTAAATTGTTTACACGTCAGCAATCACATTAATACTTACAATAAGGCGGCGTACGCACGCATGAGTAACTGAGCAAACTGTGCTGTGTTTTATGAATAGTGCTAACAACCCCTATCAAATCTTACAATGCTTTTTCGCACCATTGGTGTACCACAGCGAAGGGGGCTCAAACAGCGTTCTGTAGCGGTTTAGGCGAAGAAATTTTCGAACCGCTGCACCCCCCCTCTTTTTTTCACAATGGGTTTAGGTTTAGGGCACAACTCGGCTCGCTTGCAAGGCCTATTTGACTTAAGTAACAACGGTATGCACCCATTAGCCTGGCGACAGCTCCGGATACCTATCACATATGCTGTTGCTATGGGAGCTAAGGTGGTTGCCGACAACGCTGGTGTTCGCAGCACATAAACTTTGTTCGCACGCAGTAACAGCAGCATACGCTTCCAGCTTTAGTTCCTAACATGCCATAGCCGCATTTGCCGACTAGGAAATTCCTATTTCCCGTGAAGTGTTGCTGGCTACAGTAACGCATTGTTGTCTTCAAGCTGTGTCGTCCCACCGATAGAGATCTGCTACAGTCAGCGGACCAATGGGCACGCCGCATAGTTACTTCATCTGGTCGATCGCATTTCGCGAGTATGGTTTGCGTGCTTCGATTCCTGCATTGATTAATGACGCAAAGAGCTGGTGGCCAACGTGGACTGCATTTCTTACTGAAATTGGTGCAACTGATAAAATTTTGAGGCTGGTCGGGCCTTTAGGTGCCGCGTGGCGCAGTTTCTACAAATTTCATGGTTTTGGTACAGCTTGGTGCACAAATCGGGAAAAATTGGTGCAGCTATAACACCCCTGTAAACCAACAAAATACTACATATCATGCTAACCTTATGGTACACACCATACTGCACTTTCAGTTTCGGTTTCGTAGTTTATGGGCGGCCTAACATATTCACTTTTATCTTTCCATAGAAACTGTGTAGACAGAAACTTTATGCAGCAAAATGACAGATGATACACTCCACATTTAACATGACCAAAAACCAAATAATGCCCTAGTGAAAAAAAGGAAACTTTTCTACTTGGCCTCATAACCCTATGGTGCACTGATAGTACGATATAAGGCAATGCTTTTTGACCCAGTGTAATGAAATGACAAAATCACAAATTTGATATCATGACAAAGCATGTCACTGCTGCTCAATACGAGCAATGGCTGTCCTCAGCACTGCCACTGTGAAGTCCACATCAGCCTCAGTGATGCACATGGGAGGCTTGATCCTCAACACCTGCATGAAAATCAGAGACCATTACATGAGCATAATCAATCACTAATTATTGTTCTAATACAGTGGAATTTGGCTTTCTCTGTGTGTGCATGTGTGTGTATGATTTTTTTTTCAAGAACTGGGCACACTTTCTTAAGAAAATGAAAACTTATTTTCACAAATTTCGGGCAAAGCTGGCGAGACATTCAATGTCACCCTGTTAACTCTCTTACGTGCACCATGAGCTGGCCTTACCCGTATGGAACTTTTTATTGTTTTTTTACCTGTTATTTTTTTATTATACCCAGCTTTCAATAATTGTATTGTGCCTGCTGTGTCGCACAAGAAGCTTAGAAGCAAGAGCACAATTTTTTCCATATTTCTTTGTACCTCTTTTAGTTTTAATCATGTCCAATTATTTCATTAACATTTCGTGTTCTCTACTTGTACCTGTTGTAGAGTATTCTTCTGGAGCATAGTTTGACTAGTAGTTGTTTTTTTCATCGCATGGATTTGTGTTTTTCCTCCTAGTTGATCTTTCCGGTGCCCTTGTTTTAATTAAATGCTTGTTTGTTGTTACTGAAATGTTCATGTCTGCTCTATGAGTTCGTCAGTCAAATCCAAACATCACTGCAGGTGCAACGCTGCACAGGCCGGCCGACCTACACAAATTTGAAATGTGCCACTTAGAGGCCTTTCAGGCGGCACAAGCCGAAGTGTTAAGTGGAAGCCTGCAAGGGCCTCACCGGAAGTGTGTGACACTTATGGCGTACTCCACACGTGATCCAGATTGGCCGCCGAAATCCTGGAGCGAGCACTTGGGTTGCATCAAGCCAGATCTGCGAGTGTAACACTCGAATGCCATGCGTGAGGTTGCTCCGGACGTTGTTCATGCATACGTCACTAAACCGGTGTCGAAAACTTCCTCAATGTAGTCGATTATCTTCGGCTTGCACACGTCGAACCAAGAAACATTTCCTTATACATAATTTTGTATAGGACCTATGGCTCGTCGTCATGGCTGCTGCTACTTATGCTCTCGCTGTCGCTCAAAGCGAGAAGCAAACCAGCAGCAGCTTGTTCGGATGGCTAAAATATTCCGGGTAGAATAGAGAACAATAAGTGCGTTGAGCTATAGTGCCTAAAATATTCTAGGCACTATAGTCTAGCAAAGTCAAACGACGCCATTTTATAAATGTAAACAGGTGCATGGGGTGACTAGACACCGCCTCATAAAATGCAGAAGACAACCTAGCTGTCGTTGAGCTGCCTGACAATACCGGAAATGACGGCACGCAGTCTCAGAGCTCTGGCGAAATTCGTCTCTGCAAGACTGAGCCCATGGAACTCTCTGTCGCAGAGTGGGTTGCTCCGAATCTACCAGTGGAAAACGCAAACTTGCCACGAATCTACCAGCGGAATGCATATTCTCGGCCACAGAGCAAAAAAACTTGCTCCCGCTCGACGAGTGGAATTCGGCATTATAAATATGAATATAAATACACATACAAGAGGTCTAAAAATGCTCTGTAAATACACATACAGTAGAATCACGATAATTCGAACTCTGATTATTCATACTTTTGGTTCATTCAAATAAAATTCAATTTTTTGGTTGGCCCTCTATTCTTTCCATGTATTTAAAAGCCTTTTAATTCAAACTCCATCATTTTTGCAGTTCCATACCAGAAAATATCTGCTGCTTTCGTACTATCAATTAACAATTTGTGGGCTTATATAATCCTAGCAGTCTAAAAATTAAAAATGAGCGCATCAGGCCTTCAAAGAAAAAGGCTTTGCTAGTAAACTAATGTTGTAAACGAAGCACACACGAGGGTGATGTTTTTCAACAGGTATAGAGAGCTTTGTGCTGAAGGTACATTTAGCAAAGAAGCAGGTGGCAAATCACAATTTATTTAAAAGGTCTGATCAGTAATAAATGGCCAATAAACTTGTGGACCTTGCATTTCTGCTTTCTGTGCATTGGGTGTCGTTAGGGTTTAAAAAAGCTTAAAAAAATTCAAATGTGATAAAATCAACGTGACGTCTTGCCCAGAGCCATATATCTGATAACTCCTGATAATTCAAACTTCTTTATAATTCCAACAAAATTCAGAGGTTCCTTGGAGTTTGAATTAATGAGAGTCGACTGTCTAGACTTTACTAGCTCGTGTTGTCATGTCAGCAGTCAATGTAGAGGTCAGACTGTGAAATGGTTCATAAATGCGTATTGTGCCTGGGCAAATTCACAACATGTGATGCACATATTATCTTCTGCCAAGGTCATACAGTTAGGCTACACAGCCCAACTGTATGACTTAGGAGAGATGTTCTAAGAACAAAACTCATAAGTTCGTCACTTTATCAAAGAAAGTGTTGAAAAAGTCTGACAATAAGGTGTCTGTGGATGGGTGTTCTTGTTATTATTTATTTCTTTATTTTATTTTATACATACTGAGGACATGAAGTCCATGCAGGGTAGGTAGAACAGAAAAGGTTAACAAAAGTAGAACAATTTTGTAAGTTGAACTATACAGCTCTGAACGCATAATGTGGAAAATATAGCAAACATATTATTACAGGTATAGAAAGCTACCTCAGGCACAGCCGCCAAAATCACACAGAAGGAATGAAGACAACGATGTTGTGGGGTTGTGTCTAGGCTGCCCTATTGTCCTGGATCCTTGCACGCTCTGTGCAGTGTTAGCCCAACCGGCGTTAACTTATTAAATACTCCCCTTACATATTTTTGGTGGAAGTGCTGGGTAACATCCCGACTATGGATCTCCGTAGCGGACGTCACGTTCGTCAAGCCACGATGCTTGAAGACAGTGCGCTGTTCATCCAGTCCACGCCTGCTACGTCACCTGTGATTTCTTGCCATCTTCTGGGTCCTGGTACATTTTGCGGCACCGACACAACTGGCCAACATAATTTTTTACCTACGAGGTACTGCAGGTGCCTGGTACGAGATGCTAAAGAAGACCTGACGAGTTGGGACATGTGCAAGCTGAAGCTCCGCGACTTGTTGGGCCTGTTAGTTGCTTGACAAATGGCAGTCAGGCAGGAACTTGCGTCACGAGATCAATCTTCCACCGAGTTGTACGTCACCTATATCCAACCCCTGCTCGCCTTGTGCCAGAAGGCCGACAAAGACATGACAGAACTATACAAGGTCAGCAATGTGTTGAAGGGCATAGCTGACGATGCTTTCAACATTCTAATCTGCAAGAACTGTACCACCATTGGCTCAATTGTCAGTGAATGTCGGCGGTTCGAACAAGCCAAAAACAGGAGAATCACTCAAAGCTTCACTCGACTCCCGAACACCACTGCGACTTCTTGCGAAGATTCTGTGGTGTCACATCTATTCTTAAATTCTCCCAACATCACAAGGATTGTCCGCCAAGAGCTGGAAGCCATGGCTCCTTTCGATTATCAGACACTGTGCCAGACAACTTGGCCACAATATTGCTTATTCAAGCTGTTGTGCGACAAGAGTTTGCTAACATGGGCGTCTTAATTCTCCAAAACTTCAGCCACACCCCACAGCCCATAAATCCTACCGCTCATAATGCTGACTACTATGCCGCCCCACTTGTTGCTGCTGCCGCATCGGTTCCGCGGTTTTCGTCATGCTACCGAAATCGATCTGAGTGGCGCACACAAGATGATCGACTGATATGCTTCTCTTGCTATCGTGTTGGCCACATTTCGCTCCACTGCCACAACAGATGGTCTTCCCAGCAACATTTTCTAGATGACCACCGACAGGATCGTCGGCAGTATTCGCCACCTCGTTTTGCCGATACTACCTTCAGGACCTCCCACCTAGCTATTGTACACTACGCTCCGAACCATCCTACAATGATGCCGCCGCCCAGAGAACCCAGTCCAGTCACTCGCCGTCGCCTCAGGGCCGCCAGTCCCGCTCCTCTCAATGCCGTTGCCCTCCGTCACTGCCATATTATGGGCAGTTCTCGGGAAACTAACAGATGCAGCTCCTGGAGGTTGCGCTGCATTGATAACTCAGACCGAAAAACCATTAATGACCACTAATTCCAAACGAAAAATACTTGGTGTTCTCATCGATGCCTTGAAAGTTGCAGCTCTAAGAGACACTGGTGCCCACATATCTGTTATGAGTTCATGTCTTTGATCCTGCCTAAAATAAGTTCTTATTCCTGCTATGCTTTCGACTGTGCGAGTAGCCAACGGCAGCCGAACATTAGTTATTGGTATGTGCACTGCCCGCGTCATTGTTGCCGGCCTTGACACTTCAGTTCTCTTCGCTGTTATAGATGATTGCCCACATGACATAATTCTTGGCACTGACTTCTTGACTGTGCACTCAGCCCTCATTGATAGTTCAACCGGCACTTTACGGCTAGAATTGCCTTTGTACTCTGACGTCCCTCCTGCAACTCGCACAAGGCTACGGCCCGTGGAGTGTCTACAATTACCGCCTCAGGCCACTCTGTACCTTTCTATGTCGCCATTCCCACCTGTTCCTGTAGGCGACTATCTGGCAGCTCCACTTATTGACCTGACCCTTTCGTGGAACATCATACTTTCTCATACTGTAGTGAGGATTAGCGACAATAAGACGCTTCTCCCTGTCCTCAACTTCGCTAGCCATAAAGTGGAAACTCTCAACTCTGGAGCAATGTGCAATTTCATCTTTTATTCCTGACATCAAGACCGTAGCCGTACCTGCCACAGCCGCGCAGAATAGAGCTTTCCAGGACAAAATGATATCAAACGACCTGTCGCCGTCCCAAGTTGAAGCGCTTTGTAATCTTCTATTTTTTTTATTTCGACGACTGTTCCTAGGGCCGCACAAGAGTCGTAACTCACCCTATCGACACTGGTGACGCCAGTCCCCTTCATAAGTGTCCTTACCATGTGTCTCATTCAAAGCACCAAATAATCCAAAAGGAGATAGAGAAAATGCTTGACAAAGACGTCATTGAGGCTTCATCCAGTCCTTGGGCACCACCTGTTCTGCTTATTAAAAAAAAGGACACCTGGCGGTTCTGCACCAACCATCGCATCGCAATTGCATAACCAAGAAGGATGTCTATCCTCTACCTCGAATTGATGATGCTTTCGATTGTCTCCATGGTGCCAAGTATTTCTCTTCACTGGACCTATGATCTGGATATTGGCAAATTTCAGTCGATGACCATCATCGCTAGGAGACAGCATTTATTACACCCGACAGGCTTTATCAATTTAAAATCATGCCTTTTGGGTTGTGCAATGCACCTGCAGCTTTTCAACGCATGATGAACTCCCTCCTTTGTGGTTTTAAATGGTTGACATGCCTGTGCTATCTAGACAATGTCATTGTTTTCTAGCCAACCTTTGAAAGCCATTTTCCATGTCTGTCGGCCATTTTTGACATTTTTTTTGCTGTGCTGGCCTCCAGCTTAATGCGTCGAAGTGCACCTTTGGATGCCGCCAGATCAGACTACTTGGCCACCTTGTTGACGCTACTGGTGTACGACCCGACCCTGACAAAGCCCGTGCTGTACGTGAGTTCCCGATCCCACATTCCACGCAAGAATTCCGCAGCTTTTTGGGGCTCTGCTCATATTTCCGCCGTTTTGTCATCAACTTCACAGAAATTGCTTGGCTTCTCATGGATGCTTTCAGAAAGAACGTGACTTTTTTCTGGCATGAAGACCAAGAACATTCATTTGCATCACTAATTTTTGCACTCACATCACCACCTGTGTTGGCTCATTTTGACCCAGCTGCTTGAACGGAGCCTCTTATCGACACAAGTGGCCATGGCATAGGGGCAATACTCGCTCAAATGCAGAACAGCGCAAACCGTGTCGTAGCATACACTAGCCGCCTACTTTCTCAGTCGGAAAGGAAAGGAGGATTGCTGAGCAGGAGTGCCAGGCTCTTGTCTGAGATATAGCGAAGTTCTGTTCATATCTATTTGGATGCCCGTTCGCAGTCATCACAGACCATCATGCGCTCTGTTGGCTGTCAGCGCTTAAGGATTATACAGGAAGACAATATTTTCAAGTAAACTATTTTAAACAGTTCAAGTGTGAAAAGTACAAAGTAAAATGATACAGTGTTTACATGGGTTAGTTAGTCCGGTCATTAATGGTGCGTCGAAAAAAAGAGTATTGAATAGGTTCGTTGAAACAAAATAGGGGGTAGAGCATTTGGATGATTTTGGCGAGTAGGCCTTGTCAATAGTGGACCTAAATATGCTGCCGGATCAAGTGTGAGTTAGTAACTGTGAAAAAAAGTCGTCAAAATTTTTTTTTATGTGATTCAAGAGTTGAAATACCATTCAACTGCATTAGTTCACTTGGTGAGTCAAATATATAAAGCATATGGCAAATAAACCGGATAGCCTGTGTTTGGATTCGTTTACGTTTCTTAAAGGAGTACTAAGGCAAAAATATTTTATGGCCGAGAGATAGCCTGTGTTTGGATTCATTTACGTTTCTTAAAGGAGTACTGACGCAAAAATATTTTATGGCCGAGATAGCTTGCGGTATCGATTCTCATGAACATGCATATCATCATCATCATCATCAGCCTGACTATGTCCACTGCAGGACAAAGGCCTCTCCCATGTTCCGCCAGTTAACCCGGTCCTGTGCTTGCTGCTGCCAATTTATACCCGCAAACTTCTTAATCTCATTTGCCCACCAAACCTTCTGTCTCTCCCTAACCCGCTTGTCTTCTCTGGGAATCCAGTTAGTTACCCTTGACCAGTGGTTATGACCATGACCAGCGGTTATCCTGTCTACATGCCCGACCCATGTCCATTTCCTCTTCTTGATTTCAACTATGATATCCTTGACCCCCGTTTGTTCCCTAATCCACCCTGCTCTCTTCTTGTTTCTTAAGGTTACACCTACCGTTTTTCTTCCCATTGCTCACTGCGTCATCCTCAATTTACTCAATTTAAGCTGAACCCTCTTTGTAAGTCTCCAGGTTTCTGCTCCGTAGCTAAGTACCGGCAAGATAAAGCTGTTATATACCTTTCTCTTGAGCATGCATATATCATCAGCAAAATATCAACAGCAAATATAGCTTTGAAGGTATTTCAAATTAATTTTGAAGTTTGCATAGTTGACATAGTTGAGTGTTGCACCTGCTAGGTGGTTTTAGTTGCACCCCTGTCATTTTTGAAACAGAAAATGACACTGGTTAGACATAATGAGCCTGTAACCAATTTTCTGTGGCACATTGCAGAAAACAATGTGTTGTGTTATGACTAACAGGCTTCCAGGAACACATCGCAGCAAAAAAATGTGAGGCCAAATTTTTGTGTCAGTACCCCTCTAACGTTACATTGTTTGTAGGCCTCCCATGCAATGCAGGCATACTCGAGCTTTGGCAGAATTAAGTATCAATACATGAGAAGTTTAACAGAGGCTTAAGCATGACTAAGTTTGTATTTTTGTAAGCACAGTTTTCAGAAGGCGGGAGAAGATCTGTTTCGCACATGAAGGTACAAGGACAGATTATTATAAATGGTGACAACTCACTATTTATAGTTAAAGACTTCTTTAAGTACAGAAGAGTCCAACATATAATTATAATATAAAGATGCTTTCTTTCAAGAAATTGGTAAAGAAACACTTTTTTCAACTTTCAAGGTAATCTCCCAATGGGGGCACCATTGGAAAATTTAACAGAGGCTTTCATTTAGGTCATCTTGGTCACTAACACAGCTGATTTTTTTAGACAATGCAGAGTCGTCTACAAATAGTCTTATTTAGACAATCGGTATAACAGCATCAACAAGGTCATTGACGTACAGAAGGAACACCAAAGGACCCAATACACTACTGTGGTACCCCAGAAGTGACTGGCAGAGAGGCCCAGAAGTGACTCGAGACAGGCCACCTATATCCATGAACTGCTCACGATTTTTTAGGTATTTATTTCAGGAATATCATATTTTCTTAGCTTAAATATTACTTTAGAATGTGGTACCTTATCAAAAGCTTTACTAAAATCTAAAAAAAATTAAATCAATCTGATTATTATTGTCAACAGCAGAAGAAAAAGTGTGAATGACTGAGACTAGTTGTGCAACTGCGCAATAGCCCTTTCTGAAACCATGTTGAGACCTAGTTAGAATTTTTTTGTGGTCAAGAAAACTCATTTGGGGCTTTTGCACTAACATGTTCAATTAATTTACACCAAGAAGATGTCAGTGATATGGGACGATAGTTTTATAAACAGAGAAAATCACCTTTTTTTTCGAAAATGGGCATTACACAGGCTATCCTCTAGTCTTTCGGCAAACTCGAACGCGATAAGGAAACATGAGATATAATGACCATGTAGTTTGCTAGAGGTTCGACACATTGGGAAAGAAAAGGCTCTGCAATATTGTTGGACCCAGACGAAGCTTTAATTATCAAGTTAAGTAGCATTGATAGCACGCCGAGGTGACTAACAAAATTAGAAAATTTTGTCGACTGGGGCAGTGGCGAAGCTGTCAGCTGCAACAAAAATAAAGTGTTGAAATATACATTGAAATGTTCAGCAATGCCTCTTTTTTCATTAATAATAATGCGATTAGTATTGGTCTGTAACAGTGTTTCTGTAACAGTGTTTTTTTTCTCAATCAAGTAATTCCAAAGCTTAGTCGGGTCGGTTTTAATAAAGTTTAGTAGAGTTGTACTGAAATACTGTTCTTTTGAATAATGCAATGCATTTGTAAAGCTTCCGTTAACTTCTGCTATCATGTGCTTTACTGTCTATCGCACTGATGAACGTAAGACATTTAGACAAAGTGAATACAATGGCAACATCCAGCAAGGAGTGGGCAAGCTATGTTCATGTCAATCCTTCACTTGTGATGTGTGCATTGAACCAATAAATTCTAATACAGTAGACTCCTATTAAATAAAACCTGAAGGGACCAGGAAAACGTGTTTCATTTACCAAGAGTTCCATTTACTGAGAGATCAACAGGAGTGCAGAATTCAGATACAAAACCAATAATATTAGAGGCAGTTCCATTTAAGCAGCAATTTCTTTAAGAGAGTTTCGTTTACAGGGAATCTGCTGTACACAATATCTGATGCTCAGAAGAGACACTTACAGCAGTGTACTTTGCTGGCACTTAAGGAGGCAGAAAATGAGCATCATAAAATGAGGGACATTACTTATAGTGCAAGTACATAGGCAAAAATTGTTTCATTAGAAGCAGCCAAACAGCCTTGCCTTTAAGAATGAAATAGGAAGCTGAGACACAAACGATCAAGCAATGCAGACAGAACATGCAATACCTGACAAGAGCTATGGACAGGCGCTACAACACAGACATGGACAGAATCACAGAGGTGTATGCATGCATTAGGAAATTTAATATAGTATATCGAAACGTTACGGTTATGGTTAAGAGTACTATGGTAAAGAGTGTCCAGAATCTTGCTAAAGTAATCACAATATTAATGGACACTATCAGGTTGTCCCACTTACATGCCCATGCTGACCACCCTTGCCAATAAGAAGGCCCATTTCACGGCAGTCCTCAAGGATGGCATTTACTTTCATTGCTGCAAGAGGCACTTTTGTTTCCTGCAAAGCAGAGAGAATACAATTTCTTTAATATTTGAGTGATAACTATAAACCTGCAAAATTGGAACACTGAGACTTGACCACAAAATGATGCCACCATTCTTTAAATGCACCTAATGCCTATGTATTTATAAATATGATACATATTGTATTTTCCTGTTAGTGCATCAATGTTCAGAAAGCAAGTTGTATTGTATGAAGTTATGGAATAAATTTTCTACATGACAAAAATGATCTCCATGCTCTATCAGTCAATAGCAAAATTAAGTTATACAATATGCAGGTGCTTAGAAGAACAAAAAAAAGGACAGTTCAAATAGAACATTTGCATTTAGGTCGGTATTCTCTCTTTGTTTAAAACTTGCAAGACCTAGATGTGTATGACCATGAGAAAAAACGAGGGCATTAGCATACACCTGCAGGCAATTGACTTTGTAATACAGCACCTTAGAATATGTCTAAGCCAGACACAAGCAAGGCTATTTGAAAATGGGTTAAGAGATATGTGGGGGAAACTAACAGTGTATGGCCAGTTGTCACCGAACACAATGTTTTGGGACCAGCTATTAACTTTGTACAAACTACCTAAGTTCATAAAGGCTTGCATGACTGCATATGCTCAAATGTAAAATTGCACAATCTATTTGAAAACATTAGTTTAAAGTTTCGAGCCCTACATTTCTTCTAGTAACTTTTTCTGTTTCAAATTTGAGCCACAAAATTCAATCTAAAGTACAGGTGAATAAAGCTTTATGCAGATGACAGCAATATTCTCAAGTGGTTTTCAAGAAGTATCACTACTTGATGGCCCCATGAAAGTGACAAGCGTTCAGTGTAACAATAGTCAATAAGCATTGTTGTTATTATTAATATTTTTCTTGGCTTCAGTTATACTTCCCATAGCCACCAGAGTTCATTATGCACTGATCTAGCACACAGCATCATGTAGCTGCTCATAGCAGCAGCCAACTGCTACACTATCACAGTATACTTGCTTGCAGTCACTAAGTAGAAGTAGTTCTAAGTCTTTTTAGAGAGTGCTGCTATTGTACATACAAAGGTGCACAGCTTACTCTTGCCTCACGTGCATGTTTGTATTTTGTGGCACAACTTTTACACATGGAAATAACTAGGAAAAAAACATAGTGAGCTGAAACCTGCTATGGGTTTTTAATGTGATGCATGATCTAAGATATGCACATCTGCAATTATACAAATATTTATTTGGGTAATTAGACCAATCAGTTAACCAATTTTAACAGAAAAAATGCCTGGCTTGTACAAAGTGTCTGCTAACAAAGAACTGTTGGTATCATTGTATCATCTGGCATGCACTGTATATCACAATCAGTCAAATTTAACATCACATTGCTTAGCATGTGAGAGTAAGCTAACCTTTGATTCTACATAAATTCACTGGAGGAATGAAGAAACTGCCTCACGTACAAGGATCATTAAAGGCAATTCTAATGTATAAGTGAGGCACTAGTATCATTAAATAGCAAACAAATGAATTTCTTGGATGAATAGTCTCATTAATATGTTGTCCCCATGTTAGCTAGTTTTTTTTATTTTTGAGCCTTGAGGGCACTGATACTATGTTATATTGCTTTGTGTATGGCTGCTCATTTTCTTTATATATGTAGCTTATAACAAATAAACCTTTAGCCTAATGTTGATGCTCTTGCTGAACGTTCCTTTCTTAGTACTTGGTGTCTTCACGCTTTTAGTAAAATATACATACTGTATATGTCAACATAAAATGTTATGCAACTTCATGTGCCTTTGCTACATTTTTAAGGACATTACGTGAATGAGTGTCCACAGCCAGGATCCTTAGTTTTTGTTTCATTTCTCATTTGTCGTGGTTGTTTCCTCATATGCACTATCAGAAATGGAGGTAGTGAATCAGTATTAACCATGCTAGTCACCAGCCAGTAATGCATGGAAGCTATGCCATTCTGCTCCTGTCATATGCATGTGCGACGCAGATAATCCAGCGTGTGCACATCTCGCAGTTGGCTGGGCAAATTACAGTAAACAACCAAAAAAACATTAATACCGCTGGTTACTTTGTATATTGTGTGCCTCCAATATAGAGTACTTGAAAACACCCACACAAGCAGCTGAGGAAAGCATAGAGGAAATGAAGCTTTTTTATGGCACTGCATAATTAATTAAATACACAAATATGGACATGTAGAATTATTATCTATAACTACTTTGGTCATTAATTATGATGTTTGTGAAGACATGAAATTTCCAATTATTCATTTTAAGGCCCTGGATACTTCGTTGCAATAAAGCAAAAGGGTAAGAAATTTCTTTGTACATATTCTAGAAGGCTAGAATAATTTAAAAAGTAATGAAATATTAATTTTTATCTGTAGTTAACTCTATAGTATTTGCACATTAAAATAATTAATTTACTGACTACATGCACAAGGTAATCATTGGCTGCAAGCATTATGAGAAATGAAAAAATAAACTCACCTCATTGGTTAACAATCTAACCCAAATACGTGAACATTTTCGTATTTCACCTCAATCAAGAATGTAAGCACTGCAACTGTAAATCATCCAACTTTGTGCTCAGCAGTAAATTCTATAGCCACTCTAGTGGGACGGTTTTTTCAACGACTGTGCATTTTATGTCTGTTCTAAAATAATATGCACTGCATTTGGCACCTTGAAAAATCTTAAACTTCAATGTTCACAAAATCAACATTTACTTGAATTTCATAATTTCACTCGTGATCTGTTCCCCTGTTAAGACAGAGCATTTATTTTTTTTATCTGATCATCTAGCTGAAAGTACTACTGCTCAGCTATACAGCACTGATACATGATCAGTGTTTTTGTTTTTAGTAAAGCATCGTAACTTACCTTTCTCTCGACAAGTTCCATGCCGATCATGAGCCCCTTGCCTCGGACATCACCGACCACCGGATATTCTTTTCTCAGTGACTCTAAGGCGTGCAGTAGTCGAGTTCCAGTCACATGACTATTTTCCATGCAGCCATCTTCATCTAAAACCTGAAGGTCAAAGACAAGCTCAATTGGTATTACAGGCAGCTGTGGAAAGAAAGGAATCTTGTATTTAATATAAGGCATACAGTTTGTAATATACATTCATACCACATTGCGTTTGTATTTACTGAGAAGTTCAGTGTAAATATCCAAAAGGCAGTACTTATGGGAATAGGTGCGAGGGCACCTGATATCAAATAAGGCTCCCCAGATTTGCTAGAGAACTGGTGGAATCTCCTCCAAGTAAACTACACAAATAATTACTTCATGCAAAGGAAAAGAATAAATGAAAAGGCAGTGAAGCAAATTAGTCGTAAATATTTACAACATAAACAATGCATCCAGAGATGTTCTTTGAGTGAAGTGTGTACCTGCTCGCACCATAAAATATTTTAATGGTAAAAGTGAAAAGCCAACAGGCCTGCACGAAATGTGCAGCACAGTCTCAGCGAAAGCTAGAAGAGTGGTCTTTCTAAGCCTTCTTTAAAACCTCTTTGCACAACTGCTACAAGTGCATTTGGGTACCCACTATGCCATACATTATCATAATTTTTGTTTAGTAGGGAGGTATTTATTATGCCATCCTTCGTCATTTTTCGGAGAAGCGTGGTATCCGCTGCAAACTTGCTAGGAATTTTGTGAAAATTTTTCAATCTGCGGCTGACGACAATGAAGAGTTATGCCTGAGGCTTTTGTAATGCTTTGGCGCATTCAACAAGCGACCCGTTACGCAATTTGCATTGTATGACACCTGGTTGTTTCTTTGTTATGCTAAAATATTTTATTACTCATATCAACGCGATTGCTTTTTCAACATGAAGCCTGCCTAGGATCAGTTTGCTACGGAGTTCCAAGCACCAACATGGCTCAGTGATAGAATACTGGACTGGCATGCAAGCGACCCGGATTCGAACCCACTTGTGTCTGTGGTGTGTTTTTTTTTTTTATTTTGCACGATAGTTGTTACAGACACCTGCGGTGGCAGCGGACAACTACGGCGCACGCAACCCTTGTTGTGATCTCATAACAGCTTTTGCTGTAAAACTTAGAGAATGCTTGACTTTATCCATGAAGGGTAGAAATACATTAACATAATCCGGCCTCATGCGCATTGCCTTCTACCATGCCATGAGGAAAGGAACGTTTGTGCGCATAACATTGGCCGTTTAAAACTATCCCGAAATCTCTACTGGATGTACAGTTGCTCTGTGCATACTATGCCATAATTCTTTCTTCTGCGAGCCGACAAAGTGCCCACTGCGCTGTAAGGTGCCACGTGCACTTGTATAGCTGTACACATTGTAATGGGTGGATAGCTTCAAACCACCCACTCATTGCACAATGCACATTTCATGACGTTGGTCTGGTTCTAGGATTGTGTTATGCAATATCACATGCGCGCTAAAGGGACACTAAAGTGAAACAATTAATTGGCTCAGGTTGATAAAGTGTTCTCTGAGAGCTTTAATGTCATTAATCTTACCATCATAGGTTCATAATAAAAGAGAAAATCAAAGCCAAAGTACCATTCTTATATTTCACACCGAAATGTGCATGCATGACACCACGAATTTCGAAGTATATTTGTAGTATTTTGCAGACATTGGCTTGACGAGATTTCCCAAAACTTGGTATGTTACGTCTCTAGCCCTATCAGCAGACATTGTCCTTAATTTTTACTTATTAGGAGCTACGTAAGCTTTAGTAGACACTATCAAAATTTATGATGTTACGCCATTTAGAGCAGGAATTTCAAGCTGCCATCGCCACCCGCATTTTCTTTTTGCGTGTTTTCTCACTTACCAAGCATCTTCTCATGGGGAGCATCATGATTTTGAAATTATGAAGGGGTAGTTTGCTAATAACAAAAAAATTATTTGCTTCTTTAGTGTTCCTTTAAAGAGACTCCTTTCACTATATATATATTTTTTTCATAGCAGTTTCAAGCAGTGACGTGACTCTGTGATAGAACACTGGCTTGCCGTGCAGATGGCCTCTGTTCGATTTTCACTTCTAACTGGAAATTTTTATCATTTATTTTATGTGCATCTTTCTCAATTTCTTGGTCACAGACAAGATGATGATGTTTCGCTCAGAACTAGCGATGCGGACGCCAGAATTTCTTTGAAACAAGCTCTTTAATGCTACTGTAATAATACCACCTTCAGACAGTGTAAACAATATCAAGCACATTCTTTTATCATCACCTGTGGTAAGAGATAGTGTAAAAACATGAAGTGGTGCAAATTTTCATGCACAGTTACTTGTACAATGTTTTTAGGTAAACCCATATGCATGTAATGAATTACATATAATAGATGGCTGCAATAAATTACACTTTAAGCTGTTTTACAATGAATCAGTTACTTTTTTACTCTGTAACATTGTAATTCTATTATTTTCAGTAACTAATTGCAAGCAATCAGCTAATTACTGGCAACACGGTACTCAGCACTTAATCTAACCAAGAACTATACAATGTCTGCACTCGTGCCACCAGCAGCCTAGTGATTGTTAATTTTTGGAAAAGCCAACCCATGCTCCGTATCTGTTTCCTAATCTTAACACTCCACCACTTGGTGGCTAAATGTGAACTGGCATTGCTATAGTTGGACCACTACACATATATTTTAGCTCTAGCAGGAGCACCTCTCAGAGGTAGTCAGAGATGTAGCAAGTGTAGTACATTTCACTTTGTAAAAGACCCAGACACAAGCATTTAGTCTCTAACCACATTTCTGTGCATAAGGTATTCGTATACGTTATAACAATTCCCTCTCCTGCACACACACATAGACAGGTTTCAGTGTTAGTACAATGCTTTAAAAAATCTGAGAGGATGACTGACCAAAAGATTTTATGAGCAATTACTAGTGATGATAAATAAAGTGTAAATGACAGCATAGGGCAGAGTGAAGTAGCCAAGTTAGCTCAGTATAATTACTGTATTTCTGCAGTGTTAATAAATGTCTACAGGAAAGCAAGATGGAAGTAATTGATGACTTTTCAGCAATTCCTCAATTTAATCAGTAACTGCAATCAATCACATATTTTCATACAAGGTAGTAATTTTGACAAAAGGACAAGTCTTTGACTAGTCCAAACGTTGGCTTTAAGGACATCCACTGTTCAGCAATATTTTAATGATTTCAAATCTCCATCTTTCCAAAAAATTCTGTTTTCATGGGAAGCTATGGCACACTTTGTTGTTGAAACATCAAAACCTCATTGAACAAAATGAGCAATGCAATAATGTTTTCCAATGCAAGTATGACTTTATTATATCAATATTTGACTTCAAATGTATTGCTGGTTTGAAAAAACAACAGCCTGGTACTGCTACCGTCTAGAAAAGTTGCAGATCAATACTAGTAATCACCGCCTATACGAACCTCAGAATTTATCTGTTCAGCTCAAACAAAATATTTTACAGCATCTCACTTCCACCTGATTTTTTTCAATACTGTTAATAAGAAAAACACCTGTATATTCATACAAACTAGTGAACTAGGAGGCCTAGGTTAGCTGTACATCAGCTGCCTAAGAAGTCCACAGAAATGTGAAAGTTAAGCTTTAACAGAAGCATAGAAATAATGACACTTAGGTAACTGACATCAATAACAGCTGACCCAACAGCAGTGGCTACAGGGTTGCCACCAAATGTGTTGAAAAAGCTAGCTGCATCCAAGGCTTTGGCAATTTCAGGTGTTGTGACGACTGCAGCTAGTGGAAAGCCATTGCCAATGCCTTTTGCCATGGTCACTGAAACAATTTTAAGAAAATAAATTTGAGAGCATCAAGTAACAAGCATATTTAAGAACTGTTTCATCCTATGACATGCTTGCATTATTGGTCAAACAGTTTGACACATGTGTTGCATACTCCAATTAAAAAATATAAGCCTTGTTTTGTTTTTGTTATTTTTTTTCTCAAAACATTAGAAAATTTAGCATTAGATTAATTTAAAGACATAAGCCTAGCATAAATAGGATCTTCAGAAGTAAACATATCAGCATTTCTGCATTACTTAATTTGAGTGCCTGTTCTTGCACTCAAGCAAGAAAGTTATTTTGATAACATCAATTTTATAGCAATGCCCATAGCTGTGTGCACAATTAGTGAAGAAGAGTAAAGGACTATCTAGCCTACTGAGCAAAATGAGTGGTAGTTTATACTATAGCTTTTATATTCAGTGGAGGATATATATGACTACTAAAGGCAATCAGCAACAACGTCATGCATTAGTGAACTTGAGAGCATCAGACAGCAGTGTGCTCAAGCTTTGCTATTCCTCATTATTGAGCAGTATTTGCCGAATATTTTGGGGATAGCTCATAAGAAAGTGTCTATAGATGTACACCCTTAGAAAGACATCATTATCACAGCTACTCAAGGCAACAAAAGCTTTCACAAGGTATCCTGGCTTCTTTCAGAGGTTCATTATCCTCGGACATGCACTTGCAGCAATGGGCACATTCATGTTGCTATCCTCCTAAGCAAGAGTTTCTTACACAGATGGAAAATGCAGCTTATGCTGTGCCACAAAGCAAGGCTTGTTCTAAACATGGCTTGGTATAAAACAGCAATTCCCACACAAACAATGCTTTCTTAGGGCAAAATCTCCGTATCAGCATGTTTACTTGCTTTGACAATAAAAACCATCCCAAAAAACACTCATGGACACTAAATGTTACGCTCTTTGTTCTCTGATAATTAGCATGAATGACATTATCATGGGAGCTTTCACAGGGTGGAGCTAAAGCATAGTTGAAGCTCGAGCTTTATCCAAAGAAATATTTGCCAAGTTCAGTTGAATAGAAGTTCGATTTAGATTATTGCTGAAAATAAATATTTTGTGTGGCTTGTAAGTTTAACCAAAAGCATTAGAGACTGCATCTAGTACTTTACTACTTCTTGTGTGAAAAAAATTTCTTAGACAAAGGATGAAAGAGGCATTGATAATTTGATTGATTGATTGATTGATTGATTGATATGTAGGGTTTAACGTCCCAAAACCACCATATGATTATGAGAGACGCGGTAGTGGAGGGCTCCGGAAATTTCGACCACCGGGGTTCTTTCACGTGCACCCAAATCTGAGCACACGGGCCTACAACATTTCCGCCGCAGCCGGGATTTGATCCCGCGACCTGCGGATCAGCAGCCGAGTACTTTAGCCACTAGACCACAGCAGCTGCTGATCGTGTGCAGGATTTTCCGCCTGTTGACGTGATTTCGATCAACCATCTGTACTGTTCACGGCATGGTACAGTGGCGGCGCTGGCAGCGAGGATGCCCAAGGATATAAGAGCGGCAATGTGGAACCATCACTTCAGTGGGTCCGGTGGCGGCATGGCGAACTGCCGTTTCAAGCACGTCTGTTTCATCTTGCAGATTGCCGTTATCGCCGGCTGTCCGGATGTTCTGATGCATGGCCCTTCAAGCGACACACTGCGCAGGCTCCTACCACGATTCAGCGGCGATCGTACTGACGGCCATGTGCAATCTTCGACGGGGCGGGAATCTGCTGCTGCTGATCGTGTGCAGGATTTTCCGCCTGTTGACGTGATTTCGATCAACCATCTGTACTGTTCACGGCATGGTACAGTGGCGGCGCTGGCAGCGAGGATGCCCAAGGATATAAGAGCGGCAATGTGGAACCATCACTTCAGTGGGTCCGGTGGCGGCATGGCGAACTGCCGTTTCAAGCACGTCTGTTTCATCTTGCAGGTAACATACAATTACAAATGCTGCAGAAGTGATAACCGCTGTTTGCTGCTGCTACCGGACCCTCTGAACTTTACTGCCGTTGTGACACATCTGGTGCATTGCTTAAGAGTATCATTACTGTTACTTTGTGGCGACATAGAGACCAATCCCGGTCCCAAAGTTGATGAAATGTTGTCGCAACTACTGTCTGGACAAGCCCGTATCAGCCAGGAATTAGCTAGCCTATCTGAAACAGTTGCATCGTTTGAAAATCGTCTAATGAATGTTGAGGCAATGGCGGCGTCTGTGTCAAACATCATACCACGTGTAAGTGAACTGGAGCAGACCGTTGGTACGCTTCAAAAACTAGTTGGTAAGCTTGACCGTCAGAACGATGAGCTAGAAAACAGACTCCGTAAAAACAACCTGATAATTCATGGTTTGCATGAGACACCATCCGAGACGACTAACCATTTGCTTGAGTCTGTATTGGATCTGCTATCAGTTAAACTCGGTGTAAATTGTGACGACATAGAGCGTTGCCACAGGCTTGGAGCAGTAAGAAGAGATAAACCTCGGCCGGTAATCATTAAACTGATGGACTTCAGGTCAAAGATTGCCATCATGAGCAACGTCCGAAACTTAAAGGAACTAAAGTTTATATAAATGAGGACTACTCTGCTCGGGTTCGACTGGCACGTAAAATGCTGTGGCAGAATTCGCAAAATATGCGCAAGAATGCTAGGAAAGTGAAGCTTAAACACGACACCCTCACAATTGACGGTGTTCGTTACACGTGGGACACTGATAAAAAAGCCATTATCAAGGTTTCTACGCACTCGCTTTCAGCGGGGTCCGACTCTGCGAAATCGGCTTCTGCGCAAGCGCTTGGTATAAACTCAGCTTCATCCGCTTCTGTTTTCGCGAAGGCTGATTGACGTTGTGATCGGAATATAATTGTCCTCAACTTAAATGCGAGGAGTATACTAAACAAAATTGAAGCTCTGAACTGTTTAGTGGAATGCCACAGCCCATCAATTGTCTGCCTTACTGAAACCTGGCTAAATGATACTGTTATTGACAGCGAAATTTCGCCTGCTGGTTATGCGCTTCTTCGGAAAGACAGGCGTGCCGGACGTGGAGGCGGTGTGGCAGTTTTAATTAAATCTAATCTTGAATTTTCTTTATTACCTGACTTTCCGGGTACAGAAACCATTTGGTGCAAAATATACATTAAAGGTATCGTAATAGTTATTGGTGTCCTCTACCGTCCTCCTAACTCCGATGATATTGTCCCTGCTATTAATGATTACCTTGTCAGTAACAAGTTGTACGATTGTAGGTTACTTTTGGCTGGAGATTTCAATCTCCCGCACGTTAACTGGAACTTACTTATCCCAACAGGGCGTGACAGGACACTTTGCGCTTCCCTGATCGATCTGGCGGTTTCTTTTGGGTTAACTCAAGTTGTAGATACCGAAACACGCAAGGACGCAATATTGGACCTTGTATTTGTAAACCAGCAACTCTTATCGCACGGTGTAAAATGCGAAGTCATCGATGGGTTATCTGACCATAAAGCTGTCGAAGTTGCCTTGAACTTAGTGTGTCCACCTCAAAGACCTGAGATAAAAACTGTTTTGAACTTTTCTAATGCTGATGATACTTCCGTATTGGACACTTTAGCTTCATCTTATGATGAATTTGTATATTGCAGTGAATTTTGCAATGTAGATACGCTGCTCTTTAAGTTTTGTGACATTGTGCGTGAATGCCAATCAAAGTACGTGCCTCAAAAGTATATTAAACGGAACCCAAGACACCCATGGTATAATAGAGAAATCATTCAACTCACTCGTCGCGTAAAGCGTTTACGTAAGAATCGTCATTCCAGGTGTAACGACAATGTTTCTTCATTTAATACATTGAAAAGTAAATTAGGCACTAAAATGAAAGAGGCTAAAAACTACTACTTCAGCAATACTTTGGCTAGATTTATGAAAAAAAATCCATCCAGGTTCTGGAGATCGATTAGTCCTGTATCGTCTATACCTTCATCATTTATTGTTAATGACCAATCCTGCTCAAATCCCGAAGCTATAGCAAATGCCTTTAATAATTATTTCAAATCTGTTTTTTCCACTGATAACGGCATCAAGCCTTCGTTTTCTGCATGCAGCAATCTGTCTGCTCTTCCTGATCTTGAAGTAAGCTCCTCTGGAGTACATAACCTTATATTAAATCTTGATGTAACGAAAAGCTCTGGCCCAGACGGTATTCACAATGTCTTTCTAAAAAGATATTCAGAGTGGTGTGCTAATTATCTTACTGTAATATTTAAAAATCATTAATCTCTGCAACAGTTCCCCAGCTGTGGAAATTAGCAAACGTCGTGCCTGTATTTAAGTCTGGAAACAAGCAATTAATATCAAATTACAGGCCAATATCTTTACTTTCTACCAGCTCTAAACTTTTGGAGCATATCATTCATAAATATATTGTAGAATACCTAAATGCACACAATATACTTTCCCGATCACAGCACGGTTTTCGTGCTTGCTATTCTACTGTTACACAGTTGCTTGAATTTACGCACGACGTCGCTTCTTCTCTTAACGACCGAGGACAGATTGACGCCATATTTATTGATTATTCAAAGGCCTTTGACTTGGTTTGCCATGCTAAACTTTTAGTTAAACTTCGCACATTTTTTGGTGACAATAAGCTAGTTGACTGGATAGCAGATTACTTGCGGTCACGCACACAATTTGTTACGTTTAACCATGTGAAATCGTCTGAAGTACAAATCACTTCAGGGGTGCCCCAAGGTTCGGTGCTTGGGCCGCTCTTGTTTATTATCTACATAAATGACGTAGCAGAAATTATCGGTGACACACAAATTAAACTAAGAATGTATGCAGATGACTGCGTTATCTATAACACCATCTCTAGTGTTGAAGATCAGGAAGCCCTGAACAGTGTTTTTTCATTGTTTTGTAATTGGAGTGAAAACTGGCAAATGTCAATTAATTTCAAAAAAACTGTAGCCATGA